GATGTAGGACCCTCCGGGCAAATTCTACAGCTACTCAAAAAGTAAATTAAAAAAATAAAAGTAAAAAACAAAACACATTTTAACCAGAGACCAGAATGAAAAAAGAAAAAAAAAATCAAGGCAGATGAGAGGCATTTGCTTGACTTGGAGGTACAGGTCTTTTGTATTGACAAATGTGACTGGGTTAATTTGAAGTTTTTCTCTCTCCCTCCTTTTATCTATCCCTGTCACTCTCTCTCACTTTTCTCCAGGTTTTCTTTAATGATGAAGCTAGGTTAGTTATTCCTTAGAATCATGATCTATTCATCATAATGCAAGTTGATTTTCTGATGTTCCCCACTCCCAGTATTAGAGTGAGGCTGAAATGGTTTCATTACTTTCCCCTTGTCCTTTTATTGGCTGCTTCCCAGAACTTGGGTAATCTTTGTGTTCTCATTACTAAAACTACCAAATTCACTGAAGTACCACGTGCAGAACTTGGCTTTTTTTCTTTCTTGCCTTGCATATTTTCAATGTATAGGGGCTCTCAAGGCCAGTGTCTACAAGAGCTTTCTTTCTTAGAAGCTAGGCAGGTTTTACTAGTAAGGAACAGCAATTTTTAAACTAATTAAAGCCTTTTATGTAACTACTTTATAATGATCATCATCCCATTTTTCAGGTGGGGAACTTGAGACACAGAGTTTAATTAACTTACCTTAGGTCACACTACAAATAAGTAGCAGAATTTGGATTTAAAAGCTGGCATTTTGGCTCGAATTTATCCTTTTAATCTCAATACAGTGCTGTCCTGTGTTTAGCTCATTTCACCTTTTGATCAAAAGTTATGGGAAAGATGAATTCGTGATGTACTTCATTAGAGGTACTGTCACTCTGCCTATCTTTGTGTTAAGAATGATGTTAGAAATGGGGAAGGGTATTTTGATGGCCACAGAGGATGCCCCTCCCATAGGTGGATATTTACAATACAATTGTCGTGGCCTCTGATGTCCTTCTAATTCCTGGGGAAGCTGAGGGGAGCAACTGAGGAAAGGAATTTGTTAGAGTAGCAAGCTAGTTTATGACATGATTTTGGAATTCTATCCCAAAGGGATTGTTCTCTTGGTTACTCAGAGGCTGTATATAATAAATAAGACAACTTAAGAACGGTGCTTAGACATGGTGCCTGGAGAGGAAGACCTGGAGGTAATGTTTCATCCTTCTTCCATTTCATTGTGCAGATGTCACAGATGAGTTGCTGTCTGATGAGCAGTGAATTGTGTTTTCCGAATTCTGGAACACCGGGCTGCAGAGTGATGCTCTGTGGGTTAGAGCTGAGCAGAGGCCAGTGCTGTCTGTGCAGGAAATTCTGTTATTTAAGCAGGAGAAACATTTATTCTTCGTTGTAGGAGGTGGGGACAAGCGCATGTCATATCTTTCAGAAATGGACATAAAGTTGGTACTCTAAATATAAACTTTCCCCTTCGAAAAGCTAGTCCTAACTAAGGGATCTTTGATGTTTAATGTTGATGAGAAGTCAAATTTATGATTGTTAGTTTCAGAGCCACTGTAATCAGAAACTCCACTATACTATTTAGGAGTTTTATCCAGATTCCAAATTCTGCCTATCATTTTGAACTCTCCCTTTAATTTTTTTATGTTGTCTCTGATTCTCTAAAGTAATCACATATCCTGTTTCTTGACTGGAAAGGCACTGCATGTGTTTTTGCACAAAGTCCTGGGGCTTAGATATTTCTCTCCCAGAGACATGTGAAATTTCAAGGGCCTTTTTTCCTAATTACAGAAGTAAAACATACTGTATCCTGGGATACTATGAATTCAGTTACCTTATTTTAATGTTTTGCAAACACAATTCATAGATTATTTTTTTGTTTGCTGTTTAATTTAATTAATTGATTAATTATTTAATGCTTGTTTTCCCTCCTAGCATGTGAACTTGAGAACAGGGATCTTTTTGTCAAGTTCTTCACTTTATCTTCAGAGCCTGAAGCAAAGCCTGTTAAAGCATAGACAGTACTCTGTGAATGTTGCTGAATGAATACCTGAGTGAATTGTGCGCACCTCAGAACTGATAGACAGATGAAAGGAAGAAAATGGAAACCTTAACAATAAACATTTGAAAGATATCTATACAGGCAGTTCTTGCTTTTGGACCAGAAAAATGACTCTGCAAGCTGAAGTTCTGCAAAACCTAATAATCAATGACAAAAGTTATTGTTCTTTGACTTTTAACATTTTTTACCAAATTATTAAACTCTTGCTGTTGGCTAGAGAGCCATAGGGAAATAAAAGGAGTAAAACTGATATTTATTTAGTACACACTAATTTTTTAAAACGTTGGAAACATTAAGATTAAAGCGGTTGATTCCTTTGTAAAACCTCATCAGAAGTAGTGTGAATAGTGCTTGCTTCCTTGCGATCGTACAACTAATGAAATGGAATGAGCATCTTTTCTATACCCAAATTGTCATATGCCTTGCTAATTTGGATCACCTTCTAACATTTTATAATTGTGCTTTCCCTGTCAAGAAATGTCTCAGAGTTCCTCTAACGTGAAGGTTTTTTTTTGGGGGGGGGGGGTTTGGCCAACATTACCCCCGTCTCTGGGACCTTGTTACCATTTTGTTACAGCCACTTTCCTTATTTTTCTTGCTGAGCACTCCTTCACTGAGTTCCTCCACTGTGTATCGAGCGTCTCTCAGATGGCCAGTGGCAGCGTTGTCTACATTTCCACGACCAGCTAGGTCTTCTATAACCCCACTTACATTTGACCACAGATTTCACTACCAGTGTCATCACGTTTTGTTCCTGTGCTGTGTTTTTTTGGCTAACTTTCTCTTTTGAGTATCCATGTGGTATGAATTTATCATTGTGTGGTAAGAAGACAATGCAGTCACACACTTTGCTGTCTGCACATGAACTGGGTAACAAGTGTGTAGTGACTAATCACTGTCAGACTTCGAAAGATGCTGAAGAGGTAGCGTGAAGTTTGTACTTAATGCAATTACTCAACATTCATAAATCATGCTAACTAAAATTTTTACTGTGTTTTAGGGGACTGGTATTATTTAACTAAACTGTGGTAATTGAAATTCACATACACTGGCACCATGCAGAGCGAGGACCCCCTCAATTCCAGGCTATTTTATATATATATGTATATTTTTTCTTTACTAAAGTGGAATCACTTTATGTATATGACTTTACAATTATATTTGTTTATTTAAAATTATATGATATACACATCAAAAAATAATCTCGGTATCGTTTTATGACTACATGGTATTTTATTGAATAGTCGTACTGTAGTTTATTTAATCAATCCTCCCTTTTTTTGGACATTTTAATTTTTTTCTATTGTTTTCAATTATAAACAATGCTGTGGTGGTCACTTCTGTAGCTAAGTCTTTCACCGAGCGACTGTTACTTATTTGAAATGACTGTCTTTCTAGTGATAGAATTATTGGCTCACTGGACACATATTCTTTTAAAACATTTCTATATCCTTCCAAATTTCCTTTCAGAAAAAGATGTTTCCTGTTAGGCTTCTATCAGTGACATAAATTCCCTAAACCATTGCTGACATTAGACATTATTATTCTTTTTAATTTTAGCCATTTAAATAGGTAAAAACTGTAACTTATTTTAATGAATAGATCTGATTACTAGTTAGGTTGAATATTTTTATGGGTTTATTTGTAGTAAATATATTTTGGTCTGTGGAATTTTATTCTTGTCCTATGTTAATAGTTTTCAGATAATAGGGATTACCTCTCTCTCTTTTTTTTTAAGGTTGTTTAAGTACATATATTCCTACATAAGTATATAAATCTTTGTATTTGAACTGCATTCATATGTGTATACCATTCTTAGTTTTACCAGATTATAAAAAGTGTCTGTGGGCTTTAGTTTTCTAATATGACCATCAGTTTCCTTTCTTTTTAATTTTAATTCTTAAAGATTTTATGTATCTGTTTTTAGAGAGAGGGGAAAGGAAGGAGAAAAAGAGGGTGAGAAACATTGATGTGTGAGAGAAACATCAGTCGGTTGCCTCTCACACGAGCCCTAACCAGGAACCAGCCTGCAACCCAGGCATGTACTCTAACTGGGAATTGAACTGGCAAATTTTCACTCTGTGAGACAGTGCCCAAGCAACTGAGCCACACTGGTCAGGGTGACCATTAGTTTCTAAATGCTATTCTTTAAAAAAAAGGAGAAGAAGAAGAAGAAGAGGAGGAAAATAATCAATGATTTGGAGGACATGCTAGTTAATTTTTCATTACGGTATTTTTTTCAGAAGATGGGGTCAAAAGGAACAAGTAGGACATTTAATTATGTGCTTGTGAGTGTGTTGGAATTTTTTCCTCCTCTCAGGTGTACAATATTTTACTTGGACTTGTTTTGCAAATGCATTGAAGTGTGACTAAACATTTTCGGGTACTGCCATTATGTAAAGAAGAGGCCCCATCTTGTTAAATATTCGTTCATCAGCTTTGTGGTTAGCCAGTTACGGGCAACGAGGAGCCTGTGAGGGTGTGGGCATTAGACTTTGGACGGAGGGAGGGTGGGTCGGAGATGGGCACCTGGGAGAAACGCAGGGTTGGGATTCTCTGTTGCCCCCTCCCACTGTTGTAGAAAAGGTGATTGGATCAAGCTGGTTTCTGTCTAATAGTTTTGGATGGGGCATAAGTGGGGAAGGAGGGACGGTCATGAGGTTGGACGTCAGCTCATCTCAGGGCTAAAAGTTCCTTTGACACGCCACAAAGAAATGGAGTGCTGTCCTTCTGGACAGTAGTAGAGAGTTGAGATACAGTGTAGAACCTAAGGACTACGGAAGGTCTTTGACTTCTTTTTGTCTTTAGGCTGGGGATAAGCAAGGAAGATGTCCACCGAAAATGTGGAAGGGAAACCCAACAGCTTTGGGGACAGAGGAAGAGCTCGGAGCTCCACTTTCCTCAGGGTTGTGCAGCCAGTGTTTAACCGCAGTATTTTCACTTCTGCAGTCTCTCCGGCCGCAGAGCGCATCCGATTCATCTTGGGCGAGGAGGATGACAGCCCAGCCCCTCCTCAGCTCTTCACCGAACTGGATGAGCTGCTGGCTGTGGATGGGCAGGAGATGGAGTGGAAGGAGACAGCGAGGTGAGGAATGGCTGATGGGTGCAGACCGACCTGGGGGAACAAGGGTGGGCAAGGTAGCAGAGTCTGTGAGCAAGCACCTTTCTCTAATCTTAGCACTCTGAATAACCGATGAGCGTGATGTTGGTTGAGTTAAGGAATAAAACAGTTCTTTTGCTCCTCTTTTACATTGATATGGATGCAAGACACCCTTTATTTCACTGCTGGGGCATTGTTTCAGTGATCCGTGGTGTTATAATTTTAACCTTTATAAGGAATTAGGAGTAAATCTCCATCCATATGCTACTTAGCGGTGAAATATTTTAGAAGTAAACTCAGGTACCCCAACATGATAGCCTAGAGATATGTGTCTGCAGTCTCCCGATATCAAAGTATTTTGTGAGATCATGTTTGATTTATTACCCATTCCCTGCTAGGAGGGAGGTTGCAAAGACAGTAACTGGTGCCTCCAAACTTACTGTTATTTGAAGTAAAAACTTGTCAACTTTTGAATATCCAATGACAGTGTGGAGAAGGTACATCTGAATTTGGAGTTTAGAGACCAGAGTTTAATTTCCGACTGTTACCTACAGCTGCAAAACACTCATTTTCTCAGAACTTTGATTTAATTATCGATAGACTAGATGATAATGCCTACTACATATAAAATATGTAAGCTTTATAAGATATGTAATATATGTAAATATAATATACAACATATGTCTAATTACATCATACTTATACAGGTATGTATATATGGAGATTCTTTGTAAATTGTTAGGCACTACACAAATACCTATGTTTCCATTAATTTCATAATAACAGAGCTTTTCTTTCTTTCTGCATATGTAAATTTAGTTATATACTCCGCATTAAATCTTGGATGACTTATGACAATTATGTAAGATGAAGATTTGATATAATGCAGCCATTGTTATCATTGCATGGAGATTCAATGTATTTTACTTCAATAAACAGAATAGTGTTAAGATATGCCTTTTATAGCCTGTAATTTAATTCAGTCAATTAAATTGAACCAGTGTTTTTTGAATGCATGGTATATGTCAGGTACTGTTTTAGGTACTGAGAATACAGAAGTCAATATTTGTATTGTTTGCTCTTTTAGGGCCTCTTTCCATGATGTAGTCATTGTATCTTATTCCCTCTCTCAGTACCAATAACCTGGATATTTGAAGCCCTCCATAAAGTATACTTTTAGCTCATAAAACATCCTGCAAAAGAAGGCTTTCGAAGTGAAAACTTTTATTAGTATCTCCATTTCATTCTTTCTTTTCTTCCTTTCTAACAGAAAAAGAGTGAGAGTTATACTGGTGCAGTCTGAATTAAATGTTGGGGAGATTTTGGTCTAGTCTTGGCTTAGCTGCTAACTAGCTGTCTAACTTTGGGCAAGTCACGTAGTCATGTAGTCTTCCTGCGTCTGAATTTTCTATTCTATCAAATGAGGGTCACATTGGGTTGTGTCTTTGTAACATCATGCATATTTTACAACTCTAAAATTCCATCTCTGTGTGTATACTGGTGTAGTCAGCTGTGACTAGAAGACCTACTTTGACTCTTACTTTTATCTTAAAATTCTGTGTGAGTACCTATCTAGATTAAAATTCAGGTGTAGCATTCTGTTTTTCTTTCAGTCAGATGGAAGACTGCACTGTGTTTTATATGACCCCTGGTCCCAGAAATGTGGAAAGATCGTAACAGTTCACCACATTGGTAATAAACATTGAGAGAAATGGATGAAGTATTTTCCTTTAAGGCTGTTAAAGAGGAAGGTGGTCTGGAATACTTTACTATCCTTAAAGGCTTCATTTCTTGGGAAGTATCTGTGAAATTTTGGTGATGTCCTTGGTCCCGGAGAGACTGCACTTCTGGGGAAGAAGTGTAGTGGGAGTAGGCCATGTGTCGGGAAGCTGTCCAGGAAGAAACGTATGCAGAGGTTACACTCTATAACTTCTCCTCTGTAGGGCTTGCCACAATGGCTGTTAATTAATTAATCAATCATATATGTGATATTATTGTTTTGATCTTCCTCCCTCATTACACCGATTCCTCTGAAGGCTGGGACTACCATGTCTGTCCGTCACTACTGTATCCCCAGTACCTTGCTGTACCTGGTACATAATAGGTGGTCAGTAATATTTATGGAGTGTGATTAGTTGAAAACTGATTGCTTTAGAAACAAATGTTCTACCTATATACTTTCTTAAAAGTATTGCTTGAACAAAGTTGGATGGAATTCTGTGATAATCCATTTCTGACTGATAGACAGCTGAATGACAGACCCAACATACCCAGCACATCACTGAGAAAGCCCAAAAGGCGACTTATGCTTGATGTTTCGAACTAATTCTTCAATATGCTGATGCCGTCTGCTTTTAGTTCTCTGGGCTGGACTTCTTGCCTTATTTGATTGAAAACAGGTGGCTGGATGGCTAATAAGCATCTCAAAATAACATGTCTAGCACTGAGCTTCTGATTGATTACTTCAGGTAAGCTCCTCCTACAGAGTTCCCCGCTGCAATGAACAGCTCCATGTTCCTGGTCGCTCAAGCCAGAAACACTGAAGCCTTCCTTGACTCCTGTCTTTCTCTGTACCCCTTACTCCATCTTTTGGCACGTCCTATCTATTTATCCTCAAAGATATTCCCATATTCAGAATATCACCATATCTCACAAGCAGTACTGCTATAACCTGGTCCATGTCACCATTATCTCTCACTTAGGTTATTGCAAATGCTTCTTAGTCTTCCTCCCTGCACCTGTCCTTACCTTCCTTATGTACTGTCCACCATGATGTCTGTGACCTCATCTGCTACTTCTGTCCCTCTTCGTCCCTCTGCTTGAGCCTCACTGGCCAGTCATGCTCCTGTGTCAGAGATTTTGCATTTGCTCTTCCCTCTGTCATTTTCTTACCTCCTTTAATATTACCTTCTCAGTGACTGCCCTTTCTAAAATGGAAACCGTCCTCCAAACTGTTTATCCCCCATCCTCCATAATTTTTGTTTCGTGCTTATGAGCATTTAGCATAATATATATCTTGGTATTCTGTCTTCCTAATAAAACCAAAGCTCCATGAAGTCAGGAACTGTTGGTGGTTTTGTTTACCAGTACTCGTGCCTACAACTACCTGGTACACAACCTTCAATCAAGAAATATGTGTCAATAGAATGGAGGGAGAAATAGAACCTTGATTCTTAGTTTACTGCTTTACCTAAATCCTGTTGGGAGGTTTGGAGGTGATTGTGTCTCCAGAAATGATTCACCTTTTCAGTAATTTTTACTTCCTGCAACATACTCTGTTTTGGAATATGCTTGCAGTAATTTCTGATTATTTATGATGTCCAGTTTCCAAACATGAGCAGGATATTTTTCCCCATGAGAGACTCTCAGAGCTACCGTACAGTAAAAGTGTAGTGCTTAGAAAGAATTGATTGTATATTTGAAAATGCAGCATGGATACTTTTCTGGCTAATCTATAAAAATTGGCCATTTTTGCTCTTTTGTTAATAACCCAATTGATAGGCTATTTTATTTCATAGAGAACTAATCCACCAGACTCCTTCAGCTTAATGTAATTTTTACTTTTGCACTCCCGACTCATTTTAATATTCTCCCTGGTAATGTTCTGTACTTTTTAGTTGACTAATGATTTGATATCACCAGGAATATCCTACATTGAGTCTGGGCATTACTGTAGTTTCTGTCCTACTTCAGGAAGTTCAGGTTAGCTCTGTGTCTCAAAAAGTAAGGAGAATGATTTCAGTTGTAGGAAAATCTCTCCATTTATGTTTTGGAAATCACAGTAGTCATGTAAAACTATAAACAAGGGAAGCTTGAATTGATACAGCATTTGAGGTACAGCCAACTCTACCACCTTCTTTTTACACATCTTTCCCCTGCTCTCCCCTTTCCTAAAAGTTAGAACTTTGAATTTTCCCTGGCTCTTCCAGCAGAGCACAAGTTAAATGCTGCAAAGGATAGAATGATTAGACTTGTTAGGCATATGTGGTCAGTAGAATGCAGAGATCACTCTCTTATAAAGAGTACTCCTAAGTGTTAGGTCATTAGGATACTGATATTCAGTAATGTAGCAGTAATTATAGTGGAATATTTCTATTAGGGAAGAAGTCTATGTTTCTTATTAAGAATTTCTGGGTGACCACGTATTAGCTAATTGATTCAGGGAGCAAACTGGTAAAAGAATAAGTCCAGCTTTGGTGACGGCCCCAAGCCAGGAAGAATGGCCACCATTACCTCCCAACTGTATTTCTCTGGGTCAGTGATGTCCCTGTAAAAATGGTTGTTGGCTGTCACTGTTATTTCAGCGACTGTTCAAATGAGCAATGTTTGAGTGGTGAACTGTTCTAAGAAAACACGTTGAAGATCATTCCCGCCATGTGATACAGATTTTACTGCCAAACCTGGGTAAAAAGGAAGGTCATCACAAGTTTCAACAAACACAACAAGCCAACAGAAAAGAAGGCATTGATGTTTTACTTCAGGTGGGGCGGCACAAAGGAACACCCGTTGTTCCGGTTTCCCTGCAGACTGACTGGCGTTCCTCTGGAGAGTCTGATTTCAGGGCCTGGCCCTCCGACGCAGGCACATGCACTTCCCCGGGGGGTCTGGAGAGGAACTGGTCCCTTCCCTGTCTGTATTGACTTCTCTTTCTCTTAGGAAGATTCCATTTCAGATCAACTTTATTTTTTCCATAAGAAAAGGGCTGAAGGAAAAGGAATTTAATAATTATATCCATTAGCTAGGTATGTAATTATATGTAATTACAACATACATATAATTTGCTAGAAGTATGCATACATATAACTTTATACATACACACAACTTTTATAACAACATACATGTAACTTTTGCAATAACTTTCACAGTGGACTTAGAAATTTAAGAATCTTCTTAAAAATATCATTTATCTCAGATACACACTAGCACTAGCTTCTTTTATGTGTGATGAGGCAATTACTGGTTATCAAGGAATTTTATGATCATTTTAAGAGTTTTATGAAGTTGGATTATAATCTAGGGCAAAAGTCATGTCTATTTTCCACAGTAAAACTGTCATGTTTTTAAGTTAGAGGTCTTGTCTTTTATGAATTATATTTAATCATATGATTGGAAAATTGCAAAATTCAGTGATTCCCCATGGGTTTTCTCTTTCTTCAACAAATGAGTTGAAATACAGTTGTTTGGCAGTCACTCAAAGTGTATTGCTCTGCAGTGCACTTCATCGTTATTCTTCTAAGACCTAGGAATAAGTAAACTTCACCTAATAAACTCTTCTTCCAAGGTTACGACAGTTTTGTTATTGCAAGCAATTAAAAAGCCAACTTCTGAAATCAATTTTCCTATAACATGTCAAGCATGAAGCAGAAGGAAAATTAAGAAACTTACTTCAAATATATAGTTATTCATAGTTATTATGAAGGGTACATGGTGGCTTTTAGTACATTTTACAATAAGAACATCTGTTGTTTTTTTTTTTACAATGGTAATTACATGGTTCTGAAGCACCTTCACAAATTCATTGGCACTCAGAAAGGCTGAACTTTGATACCTTGGCCTTAGCCTTTTCTTTAATGGGTCCTATTTGAGTTGAGTAGTTTACAGTTTTTTTTTTCTTTTTCAAATTTGTCCTTGATATGTGAAGAGAATAGACATAGCATGTGTAGTTTCTGGAATAAAATTGCCTGCAAATAATCTGCTTGAATGGGCAAACTGTTACTTTCTGCCTAAAAGCTTATGTTAGAAGTACCTTGAACAATCAGTTCTTTGAACAATTAGAGCAATACATTTCAAAGGAATTTAATAGCCATTATTCTGGAGTTTCCCTTATGCTGTTAGCTGTACTATGCTATGACATCATCACAACATTCAATATTTACTGAAGTCAAAGTGAAATAGATGCTAAGCTGAACTATGAGATAATACTTATCCCCTAGGAATTGGCTAATTTCGATACTAAATTTCATTCCTTTATTGTTAAATCCAGACTTAAACGGCTGGTGTATTCCAGGGGGGTGAGTAATGCTATTCCATAAATCCAAGCTAGTTAAAATTATGATTTAGCTAGTTTATGATTTCTAAATATACTTTTAAAACTCGTTTAAAGCCATATTTAAGTCCAATCCAATTGCCTATAATGTATACTATGGAGAGGAATGAAATAAAAGGTCACAAAAGAATGAAGTGCTTTTGCTCCTTAAAATTTTTTTGTATAACATATTGTTTGGATAGTTGAGGATGATAGTAAAACAGAGCCATTGTCACATGCTGTATGTAAGTTAGGCTTAGTTTTCTTTTAAGAAGTGGTTTTGGCAATATAGATTTATGGCAGCTGATAAAAAGAGGGACTCACTTGGAAATGTAAGCGGGAAGTAAAGGCTATATAAAACACTCCCCTTTACTGAGTTCCTAGTTGGCTCTTGTCATTCGTCTTGGGCTTAAATTCTATGAACAAAGAGTTTATCCCTCAACTAATAAGAATACTCTTAGGAATAAAAACAAGGAGTCACTGCACTCTTTATAGATGATATAATTTTATATAACCAAGTCTTGGTTTTATGTACTATGGAATCTTTTCTAGAGTCTTATTTTGAGCAATAAATTATACCATCAAATGTAAATGTGATTCACATGGCAATCATCAACAAACATGGTTAGATGTTCTGTGAGCAAGCATGAAAAGATAATATAGCTAAAGTTGCTCTGGCAGGTGTGTCTTAATTGGTTGGGTGTCCTCCTGTAAACCAAAGGGTGGCGGGTTCGATTGCCAGTCAAAGCACATGCCTAGGTTGCGAGTTTTGTCCCTGGTTTGGATGTGTACTTTTCTCTCACACTGATGTTTCTCTCCCTCTCTTTTTCCCTCCCTTCTCCTCTTTAAAATAAATAAGCATGGCCTTTGGTAAGGATTAAAAAAAAAGGGAGAAAGAAAAATGTACCTAAAGTTAACTAATGTAGTATGCTCCATAAAATGATGGCTCAAAATAACTACAAACCTTTTATCAGTTCAGCAAATTGATAGAATTCAATGAGTGTGATCTAAAATTGTCATTTTTCTCTCACTTCTGTTTCTCTGGTTCAAATAGCAGCCAAAATGAAGAACTGATTTATACACACACACACACACACACACACACACACAACACACACACACACACAGAGGAATATTAAGGGTCTTTGATTCTTTCTTGGAATGTTTTGCGACGACTTTGTAGAAATAAGTAAGGTTGGGTTCTGAAGGTTTAAAGCTTTGGTGGTGATGTTGGCTTGTTAACTTATGAGGAAAACCTGTAACAATCTCCACTGCCTACATTTTTGGGGATATGTGGGAAAAGGGGAGAGTCTTAGAATGGAGGGTGAGGCTGGGAATGAGATAGCCATTGCCATGGGGAGGTCATTGGCTGGGAGAGGCTTCCTGAGATGGGTGATGGAGGGAGACTTTTGGAACGTGGCTAAAATACTTCTGAGTCACTTGAGTGTTGGGCTTAAGTAAAATTCTAAATTTTCTTTGACCCCCATGGCTGATCTCTTGATCTCTTTTCACTCCTGGTTCTGCTAATGTGTTTTTCTCCCCCCCTCCCCTGGGGATGGTGAGCAGGCTATAAATATCTTATGTAGAGCTTCCTCTGATCTCTGCCCTTTGTTCTCTGGCTTTAGTGAGCTAGGTGAGTGTTTAGCTTTTCTAGGAAAACATTTTTCAATCATTAAACCTTTGGGTGAAGAATGTAGAAAAACAATTTTTTAAACCCCTCTGTTTATCTTTTTCAATATTTTTCAGAAGGTTTGAAGTAAGAGAAAAAAGCATTTTTCTTTGGGTCATGAACATGCTTTTTTTGCTTTTTTTTTTTTTTTAACCAGTATAAATAGAGTCTATATGCGTTATATGTAGGACATAAAAACTGGCAACTGTGTTTTGCTCTCATTCCCATTAAACATTTTTATTTATTTATTTTTTTAATGTTAACGATAAGCTTTAATTGTTGGTGAATACTTCCTATTTTCTCAGTTTATCTTTTTTTTCTTTTTCTTTTTATTGTTGTTCAAATACATTTGTCTCCATTTTCCTGCCACTGCTTTCCCCTGCCCCACCCACCCCCACCTCCCACCCTCAATCCTTCCCCACTTTGGCTTTGTCCATGGCCCTTTATACATGTTCCTTGACCACCCTTCCCCTTCTTTCTTCCGTTATCCCCCTTCCCCTTCCCCTCTGGTTACTGTCAGTTTGTTCTTTATTTCAATGCCTCTGGTTATATTTTGCTTGCTTGTTTGTTTTATTGATTAGGTTCCCATTATAGGTGAGATCATATGATATTTGTCTTTCACCCCCTGGCTTATTTCACTTAGCGTAATGCTCTCCAGTTCCATCCATGCTGTTGCAAAGGGTCGGAGTTTCTTCTTTCTTTCTGCTGTGTAGTATTCCATTGTGTAAATGTACAATGGTTTTTTGATTCACTCGTTTACTGATGGACAGTTGGGTTGCTTCCAGCGCTTGACTATTGTAAATTCAAACCACAATGAGATAACCACTTCACACTAGTCAGAATGGCCATCATAAACAAATCAACAAACAACGGATGCTGGCGAGGTTGTGGAGAAAAGGTAACCCTAGTGCACTGTTGGTGGGAATGCAGACTGGTGTAGCCACTGTGGAAAACAGTTTGGAATTTCCTCAAAAAGCTAAAAATGGAACTGCGTTTGAACCAGTGATGCCACTGCTGGGATTATACCCTGAGAATCCTGAAACACCAATTCAAAAGAACCTATGCGCCCAATGTTTTTGCAACATAATTTAAACATTTTTATTTATGTATAGATTGATAAGTTATTAAAATGTCTAGAAGTCTTAGAAAGAAGCTATGCAAGAGTGTTGTTTTTTCTACTGCTAACGTTAATCTGTTACAGTCAGAAGATGTGTTGTTCATTGAGCTTGCATATTTTTAAACACACATGGAGCTAGATTTTAAGGAAGGAACATGGGTCAACTGAGAAATATATATTAATGTAAGACGTAGCAACACATGCACACTCAGCTTAGTTATTAAAGGGGAATTTTATATTCATCTGACCATTTCACGCACCATGTTTTTTCAAATATTCAAGATAAATATTTCCTGGCTAGTGTGGTTCAGTGCATTGAGCATCATCCCATGAACTGAGAGGTCATGGGATGACCTAGTCAAACAATTGTTTGATTCCTAGTCAAAGCACACGCCTGGGTTGCGGACCAGGCCCCCTGTTGGACATGTGTGAGATGCAGCTGATTGATAATTCTCTTTCACATCAATGTTTCTCTCTCTCTTTCTCCTTCCCTTCCCCTCTCTCTAAAGATAAATTTAAAATCTTTGAAAAGATAAATATTGGTCCATAACTGATATTTCACCTTAAGTAAACTTGCCTTGTGAAGTCACACAGAATCCTCACAGTAGTGGCTATTTTTTATACATTGTAGGCTCTACATAAGTGGAGAATTTCATAAGCATATTTTTTCTACCTTACTTTAAAAATTTTAGTTATTCTTAATGATTCCATGGTTACTGATAGATTTAAAAAAAAATACCCAGGAACACTTTGGTTCCTTTTTGTTTTCTTGCTAACATTAGGGAAGGGTACAGACCCCATTTGGTGTATTTATAAAAGTAACAGAATTAATGATAAAATAAACCTTTAAGACTTAAGGGAGGGAGACATGTTGATAGTGCCTGCGGGGGTGGAAATGGAGGGGTTGATGTTGCTATTTCCAAGGTAGTCAGAACACTTTTAACTGTTATTTACTAATCTCATGTTCCTAGGTGGATTAAGTTTGAAGAAAAAGTGGAACAGGGCGGGGAGCGATGGAGCAAGCCCCATGTGGCCACATTATCCCTTCACAGCTTGTTTGAGCTGAGGACGTGTATGGAGAAAGGATCCATCATGCTTGACAGGGAGGCTTCTTCTCTCCCACAGTTGGTGGGTAAGTATGTTGTTTTAAGTATCTATCATCTTTTCTTCAGCTTTTCCTATCTATTTGTGGATCCCAATCAATGCAGATGACTTCTAGTATAAGCAGAGTTGAATATTCTGGAAAATTTGGAAAATTCAGACAAACATTGAGAAAGAAACTTAAAAAGTCAATCATTGCATCTATATCTGGTCATAGTCATTACTAATCTTTTGGCATATTTTTATCCAGTTTTGTTTCTCAATCTTCTCTCCTATACTTTTCATTTTTTATGTTATTTTATAACAATTAATATTGGGATTATATTGTGTGTGTATACACACACACACACATACATGCGTGCATACACACACAGGTTTGTATTTCTTTCTTTCTTTCACTTATTAGCATAAGATTAATATTTTGAATGGTGCCTCCACCCAATCCTTGGCTATATTAGACTGAATGTCTGGACACTAGATTTCTAGAACTCTTTGGCCTCAGACATAGAACTGAGCTTCTCTGGGCCTCAGTTTTGTCATCTGTAAAATAGGGTTTAAATCCTCTGCAGGAAGAAAAATAGTCTAGATCCTGGGTGGGGGCTGATGTGTAGATAGAAGTCAAGCTCCTTTAACTGCATGTAGAGAAAAATTGTGTGAAGCAAGAGGCCAGCAGAACCTTTTGGGTTAGTGACTGAGTCATGTCACGTCAGTCTGAGTAGCATTTGTACAACCACCTGTGAGCCAGGGAACCTAACAGGGCAGCTTTGGCATCTTTTGGAATTAGTATTGTGTAGTGAATGTTAACTCATCATGTTGAACACTTTGGGTACATATCACTACATTCCAAACAGTAGTAATTGTTTTAATTTTCTGGCAAGTGTATGGCCTAAGTGGCCTTAGTACCCTTCGGATCTAGGCGTAGTGGAAAACGGCATAGATGTGTTGTTCATTGAGCGCACTCTCAAAAACAGGTGCAGGGGCTCTGCCTGCCGTCCCTAGGAACACTTCAGAATTAGGTGACTGCCAGACCTGTTTGGAGGACTGCACTTTCCCAAGGGGGCTGCAAGGTGCCTACCTTGGGATTATAGGAAGAGGATGCGGATCGTGGCTCTGCAGAAAGCGACCGGTGTAAAATTCCTGTGTAATTTCAGACTTTCTGCAAAATTTCTTTGACTGTCTTTAGACAAAAGGCTGGTCTATGACATCTGTGTCTTTATAGACAATGGGGAAGCTATAACATTTATATTGAAAGAAAAGATTAGTTGTCAAATGAGGCATATATCTAGCTGATGTATATGAATTCCATTCTTCAGAGAGCTTGTTGGTTAGATTTGCAAAGAAGCCAGCACTTTTCATACATCTGAAGTATTTAAGGTGCAAATGGAGAAGGGAGAAGGACTAACATGAAGATGCTGGGTGGACAGAGTTAATTAGTTCATGCATTTGTTCAGCAGTCATGTATAAGCCTCTACAATGTGCCAGATACTGTTCCAGGCCCTGGAATTAGGTTTGTAAATCTACCACTTTGTAAATGGGATAAGTTACAAATCCATGTATACACAGGTAGTTAGAAGATACTGTAGGAAGTGCTGCTCTATGCAGAACTTTTCATACTTAACAATGCAAGTGAGGCTGAAAGGGACATTTGATATATGAGGACAGATCTTGGTTTATTGTTCCAAGGCAATGTGGAGCCGCCTGCAAAGACAGAAGCAAACAGAAGGAATGGTTTTCTGAGTGATTTGTTTCAGTGGCTTTAAAAAAAAATAAATTGAAATTTTATGTGAAAATTTATTATGTTGTTTGGATTTATTTTTAAAAAGCAATTTTTATCACTGGAACTCTTGAGGGTTTCAAATTCAATAGCTAAATGATGATTGCATTACTTCAGCCAAACAATTCTTCGAACTGGAGACATTAAGGGTAGAAGCTTTCTTTCTTCTCTCTTGTTGTGGCTTCTGCAATTCAGTAACAAGAATGTAAAATCAGAATTGAGTAAAGGCATTCATTTCATGGTAAACCTGGTCTTCACATACAATGAATAATAAGCCAGCTTTTCCTATGAAACATCTTATGAATGAACTAGGATATAACAATAAGTTATCTCAGGGATACAAATGCAAGTCATAGTTCAGTAGGAACAGAGACATGGAGAGAAAAACATGTCTCCTAACAGAATAATTTATATATTGATGATTCAAACTTTTATAATTGTATACAAATTAAAAAATAAAAACGTAGGCCAAGCACCTTACAGAACTGAAAGCATCCTAAATAATGGGTTGCCAATATTGTTCCATGAGTATCCTCCCTAAGTAGCCTATCACACTAGAATGTACTCTTAAACATACAGGTATATCAATTTTCATCCATAGTTTCTTTCTTTTATTAAAGGCTGCACAAGAGATTATTATCTTAAAAAGTATCATGATTAGAAAAAAATTAATCCACTTTTTGAGTGAGAATTGCAGTTTCTGTATTCTTACATTTTAAGAACTGATCTGGAGCAAAAATGTCTGAAAACAGACAAATTGAAAAAAATACATCGAAAGTGCATACATGCCAGGCAAGATGGATGCCACACCCGTGACCTGGCGATGCACAGGCAGTCTGAGGGGAGAATCGCTGCTGTGGTGTAAAAATCACCAGAAAGGCTCCTATGTTAAAGGGAAAAAGTATTACTCTAGTCTTTTGTTGCTGCCTGAAATTTCGTCGTTTGGAGGGTCATTTCACTGAGCCCAGAGAGTCAGTCCTCTATTAAAATATGCTACCGTCTGACAGAGGTCATGTATTCATTTCATGAGATGCAGATCATGAGATGTAGAAAGGATGGTGAGTTTAAAATTGAACAGGGTTTAAAGTCTACCTCTACTAGCATTTATGATCATGGGATGGGCAACGCAACTTACTTAACTCCTTAGCAGTCTTAGTTTACTCCTTTGGAAAAGCAGGATGAAGGATCCTGCTTTCAGGGTTGCTGTGAGAATTAAATGAGGGCATCCAGTGTGATTATCATATACTTACATAAGTATCGCAGTATACATGAGTTTATCCAGATCTTTTTATGTGTCAGCTAGCAGAGGGTGGAGTGTAGACTGAGTCAGGTAGAGAGATGCTCCGGGACTTCATGAACAAGAGAGAAGATTCTGAAAAATGTAGTGGCCGGAGCTGGAAACAATGAACAGCTTCGTTGCTGTACCTGGAGTTGGTCAGCAAGGGTGACAAAAGTTAAGCTAAATTATATACTTAGACTTTTCTGTAAAACTGCCATCGGGGTCTTCATCACCAGAAAGAACCATTTTAAGGAGATTCTGGTCTTCAGCAACTAATTGTTGTTTTACATGAACTAGAAGACAGACTCCCACATTATATTGGAGACTTGTCAGCTAATGACCAGAGAAGTTCTGGTATTTACTATATTTAAGAAAGGCTCTTTTAAGCACTCTGTGTTCTCCCTCTGATTTTCCATTACTTTTTATTATCAGCTGTGAACTGAACTTATTCTGTAACCTCCATGCATTTACTTTAAAAATTGTCATTAAATTTTAGGATGAGGCACTATTAGGTCACTGTGAGATGTCATCAGTTAGTAATATGTTTCCTCTGCAGTCCCTGGGGCAAGCAGGCAGAGGGCCAGTGGTGCCATTCAGGAGCTGACAGCGCAGAAAAAAACTCAGAGGCAAATAATAAGTCAATAGAAAAACTCATAAGCAAAGGAAAGGAAGAAAAAGAAATGACCAGGTTTGCAGGTGTGCAAGGAGAGAGTGTAACTGCCTGAAAAGAAATTCTTAAAAATCCTCTGAAACAATCTAAACCTTGCAGAGGGTTAAAAAACAGAAAGAAAAATAAAGCCCTTATTTTATTTTAAATGGCAGAAGATGGCATACTAACTTAAAGAGTTATTGTCATCATTTGGTTATAAAAAATTATTATTTTTTTTAGCAGAAGATTAAGTGGAGTTGTTTTGTTCTGAATTTAGTTTAGAATTTGTGCAGTTAAGTCTTTTTTTTTAAGTTGGTTTTAAAAAAAATTATTGATTGATTTTTAGAGTGAGAAGGAGGGAGAGAGAAAAACATTGGTTTCTTGTTCCACTTATTGATGCATTCTGTTTGTTGATTCTCGTATGTGCCTGACTGGGAATCAAACCTGCCACCTTGGCATATTGGGACAATGCTCTAACCAACTGAACTACCCAGCCAGGGCCTCCATCTAAGTCTTAAAAGACGCATCTCTCCTCCATTCCGTTTATCTCAACAGATTTATGTCAACAACTGAGAAGAAAAAATAATAACAGTAAGTGTGATTATATCAAACAAACAATAGCAAGCTTTTTATCCTTTTTTGCAATCCACCTACTACTCCTTCTTAGTGACATCTTAGTGGCATCTAATGCCTCTATCTCAGAAGCATCTCCCTCCAACTCCCCCACCCCCAACACACAGGTGCAAAGCTACCTGGTCATGAGCAGTGGGAGAGTGTTTAAGCAGGTGTTACTTCTCATACTTGCATTTAAAAATTGAGCCTGGATTCCCAGTCAGGGCACATGCCTGGGTTGCAGGCTAGGTCCCCTGTTGGGAGTGTGAAAGAGCCTCCTATTGATGTATCTCTCTCTCATCTATTTTTCTTTCCCTATCTTTCTCCTTCCCTCACCCTCTCTCTAGAAATAAATACATACATACATACATACATACATACATACATAAAATCTTTAAAAATATGTTTAAAAAGTTAAACAAAATAAAAATTCAGCCTAATTCTGATTCTCCTCAGAACCTCTTCTTGTTTTCTTTGTGAAGAAAACCTTCTTTGTGTTGACAGAGAAATTTGTCTTTCAAATGTAAATCATCATTTTCACTGATTATTTTAGTAGTTTATTATTACTATCATTATAATTCTACATTTAAAGAGTGTCATTCACATATGAGGCTATGTACATTGGAATTTTCCTCCTCTGTTTAGTTAAAAAAATTATGTCATTTCAGGTATTTTTTGTTATGATGGAAAATGGATAAGGAAAATGTAGCTCTAATTTTGGAGTTCTCATTTTTATATTTAAAGATGTTCCTGGGCTGTCGCTATTGGCAGATATGTTAGTCAAGTCATTCTTTGCTTTTCACACCTTTTGTATTTTCAAAATGGTAACATATTTATGTTTTATCAAAAAAATCTATGTTCATTTTTATATAATCCAGAAAAATATAGCATGCAAATATCGAAATACCCCAAATCTGATCTTTTAGAGCTATCCTTCCAGGAGTTTTTCTGTACTTCTGTTTACACATACAAAATTTATTTTACAAAATGTGATCATACTATAACACTTTAATCTACTTTTTTAAACTTAAAAAACATAATACGAATTATCTTTCCATGTCATTAAATATAAATGTAAACATTGTTTTATGGCTGCAAAATATTTAAAAGTCTATTACCAGCCATTGAAGTTGCCGTCAAGTTTTTATTGTAAAGAAAAGAAGTAAACGTTTTTATCATGCTTTTGTGAAACTGTTTCCTTAACATAGGTTTCTAACGGTGAAATATTCAAAGAGTTTGAACATATGGAAGGGTTTTGCTCTGTGGTTACCACTTGGCCTTCAACAAAGGTTGTACTAGTTACTACAGCTGTGATCAGTGTATGGAGTTCCCTACTGACAACATCCTTCACATCATTGGGGATTAGCCTTTTAAACTTCTACTTTCATAGATTTACAGATATCTCATAATTGGTTATATTGTATAAATTTATTTAAATTGTTGGTCTTGAAGTTAACTATATCTTGGGTGTTTGTATTTCTTTGAAGAATGTCACCTTTGGCCTTTTTATTTTTCCTGCTTCATGGCCATCTTTCTGTTGGTTTGCAGAAGCTCTGCATATGTCAATTTTTTTTTCCAGTCTAGAGCTTCCTTTCTAAATAAAGTATTGTGTGATATGGAAAAAAAGATCTAAACTATGAATCAGAAAACCTGGTTTTATTTGGGGGGGGGGCTTGCCTCTAATTAGGCCATGTCTGTGAGCAAGTCTCTCTTGCCCTGTCATTTCTCATCTGTGTAACAAGAGGTTGAACTTGACACTCCCTGAGGTTCCTTTCAGCTCTGCTGTCATCTAAGGTTGGCACATTCTTTCCCAATTGGTAACGTCTGTGGGATTTTGAACACTGAAGGCTTAATTTCAGTGTAGCTGTGAAATGTTACTGCCCCCACTTTCCTTGAAAGGTTTTGTAGTTTATGCTTGAAGAGATCCCCGCAATATGGGCCATTTTTATAGAATCTTAATGAAGGACATAAACCACACGGATATTTTAACCTGTCCTAACCAGTGACTTCCAGGCTGGCAGTGGCACATAGAGGGTTGGCCTGAGATTACAAGGGAGGGCAAGAATAGAGGGGGGCCCTACCAGGAAGGATAGATAAGGGACACTTTAATCCACAACCCTGGAATTACTGTAGGAGTTTGATAACACTTGCAGCAGCTATCTGGGGCTGTTTGTTTACTTTTATGGTTCTTATGTAAAATGGACTTTCCACGTGGAACAAGACTTAAAGGGAAAGTAGAGACGTTGTGTTTAGTAGCACCTAGTCATTTTGCTGTGGAGCAGAGGGTTAATTGTAACTACAGAATCAGTTCTGAGAGTTGTACTGTGAAGAGTTTGCATAGTTAAAAACACTCAGAGCTAAAGGCCGTTGTCAAACCAAAACATTCCTATGAGAGAACTTCCCCCTCGCCCAGGCTCCGCACCGAGTGGTCCACCGTTGTGTGGAATTTATGCACCTGTCTAGGGCATGCGACGGCAAATCCTGGACTCAGCCTCTGCTTGGCTCCCAAATAGTTGATTGTACACTGTGTAAATCACAGTTTCTAGCCAAAGGCTGTGAGGCCCGTTCTGTGGCTGACTTGTGAAAAAGAGGATTTCTTATTTTTTATTTTTTTCAGTTACAGTTTACACTCAGTATTATTTTGTATTAATCTCAGGTGTACAGCAGAGTGGTTAGACAGTCACATGCTTTACAGGTGCGTCCAGTGCCCACCTGGCACCGTACGAGTTTCCACAGTACTGCTGGCTCTGTTCCTCTGCGGTACGTTCCGCCTCCGGGCCCCTCTGATTTTCAGTTAGAGTCAAACTTGCCCGTCAGCAGAGCCGCCCGTGGAGCAGTTCCTACGAAATACAGTCATCTAGTTAAAACCATTCTTAAAAGAACTAATAGAAAAGTTAATTTTTTTAATGGTACAACTAAGAGGTTAAAATTTCATAGAAAATTCTAGTCAGGTTATACTTTAAAATGATTAATGGGATATATTGGAAAGGCTCAGTTGGCTCTAAATAAGCATCTCTTCTCAGATAAGATTAAGGCCTAGTTTTGTAGTATAACTGCGTTATTGAAATAATTGGTGTTCACATAACCTCATATGGGGAAAAGGTATTGCTCTCCTTTACTTGGTGCTATTATAAAGAAAATACAACATGATAGAAGAATTTGGAGAACTACATTTAAAAAATCAATAATGTCACTACTTTAAATTTTGCATATTCTCTTCAAGTCTTTTTCATGTCATTTATATTTCTGGCACACTTGGAGAGAGTGCATGAAATTTTCTAATCTTTTCTTCTTTCTTAATTGAAAAATGTAAATTACTGGTTTGTTGTGTTACTCATAAAATAATTGATTAATGCGAATTCACTATTAACTGGGATTTAAAAAAATGAACAAGACAATTTTCCTCTCCAAAAATGGAATCAATACTGGAATATTTATAACTTTGTCATTAATGCCAATATCCCTGTACCCTGTATCTTAACCCTTCACATAAAGTGGGAAGTTTGAAATTTGGACAGTTTGATATTTTAACAACACTGATGTTAAATTTGAGGATGCTGTTTATAAACATAGAGTGAAAAATTAACTTTGTGGTCTTGTGACTGAATTGCGCTTTTGTTTTGCTTTGATTTTGTATCAGAGATGATTGTTGACCATCAGATTGAGACGGGCCTTTTGAAACCTGACCTTAAGGATAAGGTGACTTACACTTTGCTCCGGAAGCACCGGCATCAAACCAAGAAATCCAACCTTCGATCCCTTGCTGACATTGGGAAGACCGTCTCCAGTGCAAGTAGGATGTTTACCAACCCTGATAATGGTAATGCAGGGGCCGACTGGCTGCTGCTCTCTTCACCAGCTCACTCGCCTTTACTCCATCTCTTGTCATGTTTTTAAAAACCCCTCTCCATATTTCTTTTTTTCCTCAAATTCATATGCCACAGCCATTTCATAATGACACCGTTTATCCCATTGGGCAGGTTTGCAGTCCTGTTGGAAAGAGTTCAGCAGTTACTGTAGGCTGCAGATGCAAAGATGCCTTGCCTGCTCCATATACATCTATTCTGATGTACTGAGATGGTTTGGTAATAATGCTATGGTATAACACCTGAATATTTGAGGTGAATCAGCAAAATTTTAGATTATTGAGTACATCAGGGAATATGCTTTTGACATGGTAGCTTGTCAGAATCAGGAGGACAGACTAAGATATGAAAGCTCTGAAATCCTGTATCGTGAAGTATTTGCTTGGTATGTGAGCTGCTGTCCAGCCTATAAATGATCTTTCATCAAAATAAGGCTCACTATTACTTTTCTACTTAAAACCACAATCTGTTCTTTTGTTAGATGTTAATGATTAAATGTGAGAATAATGAGTCAAGGTGGGATATTAACCTCATTATATAGCAATAGGAAAGACACTGTCTTATTTATATTCTATTGCATTTACCAGAGTTTTCTATAAAGTATCTCCTGTGTCATTGTCTTTGTTTCAAATATATTTCGTGCTTGGATACAACCTGACAGCGGAGAGATTAATATCCATGGGGTACTGAAAGATGAAGGCATGGAGTAAAGAGTCACTAAGCACTGAGCTGGTAGAAGTAGGTCTCTCACATCCCATCCCCAGTCTCCTTTTAGTATTAAGACAAACGAATAGATAAGGGAGCTTCTAGTTGACTGCCCTCAACTGCATTTTCAGAATAACATAAAACATGCTGTCAGGGAAAAGGTGTGCTAACTGAATGGTATAAACTGAATTCTTACTCAGCCATTCCATTTTTGGAAATTGATGTTTCTGAATAACTATTAAAATGAATGGTAGTCTTGGAAGAAAGCTTACTATTAGCAGACTTTCTCTGGTATATTTTTCAACCTTTCCATCGTTGCAGTTTCCTAATGAGTGTTTAGTTCCTAGATAGAACCAAATGAAAAGTTCAGTTTTATTGAGTGACATGTATTTTTTAAAAGATAAAACCAATTATAACTAAATAATTAAAATGAAATCTCTTTATAAAAAACATTCACTAAAGAAATAATCTAATCTAGAACATTCCTACTACAATTTGATGGCTCTGCCATTACTTCGGATACTATTACTGACTGGAAATGTTTTGATTTTTGTGAGTTTTTAAATTGTATTTTTAAAGCGAGGCATTGTTTAATGACTGGAAATGTTATGGGATGAAGAAATCATTATAACTGGTGTCACAAATATTTCATTTTAATAGCACCACATGTTTTTAAAATTGTAGCAATTAAAGTAAAATTCTGTCTTTTATATCTTATTTATTATTCTTTCTCTCACATAAAGTGAAATTCCATGATTTGGAGATTTTTAGTTTTCTCCTGAAGTTGGTGGTAGCATAAAGAATCAAGAAAGTGCATTTTTTTTTTTCAAATATTAGTATTTTGCAAAGAGAAGAGGACCAGATGCGACAGAGTGAGGGGACCTCCCACCAGGGAGGTATGAGCTTCATCTTCATGGGCCTGCAGGCAGAGTAAGAATTGGGAGCAGATGGGGCTTGGAGGCCACCATCTTGCGCTTTAGGAGAAGGTATTTGGATGCGGAATACAGCGAACCAGTTGATATAGCTATTGCTTTTTATCCTGTCAGTAGATCTTTGTACTTCAGAGGAGAGTTGAAATTGCCTTTCTCATTTGCCTTTTCTCTTGTGAAATGCTATACACTCTGGGCAAAAAGCAACTAGGAAGGGCAGGCCCCTCTTTTCCATTCTGGCTCTTCAGTTTACAGCCTGAAGCATGGAATTTGAGTAGGCCTTTTTAAACAGGTTAATTATTGACCTTTGTGTTACCCACCTCCTTTTAAACATCCAGAGGCAAGATTTGGCTTTGAGAGATTCTATAGCAATGGATTTCATGTGCCTCCAAGTACACTCTTATAAGTCAGCAGATGGCAAATTTTTGATTTTCTAGAGGCACTTAACTTACAACTTTATGCAGTTACCTTTGGGTGTTACAGTTTAGTTACTTAATATTTTAATATTATGAAATATTCTTAGGATAAATTTCTAAAGTAAAGAATTATGGAACTCTTGCTACTATTTTAACAAACCTGAATCTTATATTTATTGTTGTTAGAATTAGACTCTGATTATCTGTATGTAAAACCTAGATAAACTTCTCATAGCCTACAAAATAGACTCAGCGACTCCATCACCTTTAGTTGCAAGAGCAAGATTGTAATTAATAGCTACATTCATGAAGATAGCTTAGAATTGGACATTTTTTATTTCACAGCGATGTGCTGGAGCCAGCAACCTCTTATCTACTCATGAGAGTCATTTGTTATCAGGAATTTGGTGAGCTGGTTGGTAAACATAGCTATTATTAAAAATTAAATTATATAAGCGTACTTAAATAATCACATTAAAAATAAAGCTAATAAAACTCAAAACTTGTCACTTCCTACTTATTTTACTATAGTCTGTGCTCTTCAGGTTATTTACACCTATTGTGCCTGGATGGTAGCAATACTACAAAATGGTATGTACTGTGTACCTCTTCCCAACTCTGCCCACAGGGACTTTATACTTGAAATTTGAAATCGCCCATGGTGGTAGTATTTACACACCATATGAATCAGCAAAGGCTGCAAATCAGGGCTTTATTGATTGGTAATTGTCTCTAGACTTAAAAAAAAGTGATGAAAAAAATGCTAATAATACAGTTACAACTTAAAAATGTGTGATGTTTACAGTTGTTGTCTTAGCCTGGCTGCTATAACAAATTACCATAGACTGAGTGGCTTAAACAACTACATCTATTTATCATAGTTCTGGAGGCTGGGAAGCCCAAGATCAAGGTGCTACAGATTTGACCCTCCTCTGGGCTTGTGGATGGCTGCCTTCTCACTTTATTTTCACATGGTGGAGAGAGATTATCTTTTCCTTATCTTTTCTTATAAGGGCACGAATTCCATTCATGATGGCTCCACCCTCATGATCTAATTACCTCTCGAAGGCCCCATCTCCCAATATCATGACACTGGAAGTTAGGATTTCTTTCTTATTTATTTACTTATTTAGTTAGTTATTTATATTGTATTTTTTTTCCATTACCAGGATTTCAACATGAATTTTAGGACAATACAAATATTCAGTCCATAGCAGCTGTTAAAATGTGAATATCCCAAAGAATTGAGGAAATATTCCTCTGATATTCAAAAACTATTATCTAATTTAACAAAGGGGTCACTGACATTATTGACAGACAAGTGAGGTCTGACATGCGTCTTTATTATTTTGCTTTTGTCTTGTTAGCATATATGATAATGGATGTTCAACATGGATGTTGGAACTATGCTTGTTGGCCAGTTGCCACTAAAAGTTGGTTACTGAAAAGAGTTTGGTAAAAATCAACAAAAGCATTCTGTGAGAATCAATTGGCTATAGGCAGGCACTTTACAAGATTATTGTGTATTTTATTATTCATATGTGTGCTGCATATCCTTTGTATCAGTAAAATTTACTACATGCCCACTTACACATACACACAAATCTTTTCCCCCTGGTGGAGAGCTGGTTTTCAAACATTTACCATCACATTCACTGCCGAGTCATGGCTAAAGATTGACTCTCATGTCTAGGGTCCTGATGTGGCTTGGGGTTCAAGACAATTTAGTGTTTTTAAAAAGAAATGATAAACATCTTTATTTGTTAGGAATTAGGGAAGAGTCAGGCTAGCTTCCAAGGTATCCATTTTTGTGAAATTGCCACTTGTTTGAAATTTTACATGAGTGCTATAATTTATCAGTATATTAACTGAGGCATTTCTATAGAGTTAGTGTTGCATGAAAAAAATTAATGAATGAGGTTATCATTTCCTCTGGTGTTGGATTTTCCTTTCTCTACTCTATTTATAACTATTGTTTCAGGTTGAACCATACAAAATTGCCATTTTTGTGGGTAAGATAAAGTTGACTGTCAGTAATTTCGTATGATTCTGCCTAATAATTTGGTCTGAGAGACTTAGGTTCTCTATTATTGTGATTTACTACGAAAAAATAATATTTGGGCCTAGAAACATCCCTTGGTAGTATTTAAAAATCCAGGAAGATGTACTTTGTTTGCTTTTTATTAGGAAGTAAAAGTTTATATGTAATTAATATTTATTCAACAAATATTTAGTAAGATGTTTATGGAAAGATTACCTGATAATTCTATTTTAAAAAGTCATGGTTTATAGGATCATCTGCTTTATAAAAATATCACTTACCATTGTCAAGAATACTTTTGACAGCTTAGAAAAGGTAAATGAGACCTGACTTGAGGACCAGGATAATTAGGAACCTGAATTTGAGTAATCAGCTTTCACTACCTTTGAGGAATTTGGGCAAAGCTGTCATCAGTTTGTCATAAATGATCAAAAAATGAATCCTTGTTCTTTGTGGTCTGAATGTATAGAAATTTTGTACTGAAAGTCACTTCGGCTCTCCAATCAGACCTACACTGTGAATTTCTGTTTTCCCTAATACAATTTCATGACCCCATTCCTCATTAGTTTTTTAAATAAAAAAAATTAGAAATGTAATGTAGTACTCAGTTTGAATATCTATGAAACAGAGACAAAAATTAAATGAGATAGTGTATGTAAAATGTTTAGAATGATAATTGGCACATAGTAATCACTTGACCAGTTATATTAAATTATATATAATATGTTTAAATACAATTAAGGATGAAAATCTCATATCAAGTAAGAATGGTTTTTAAAATTATATTTGCTCTGTAGCTACTATTTGGGAAGAAACTTATGGGTATAATGCTGGTTTATTTCCTCTGCCCTTTGGTAAGCGAT